ACGGCTTTGCTCATAGAGCACTTTGATTTATAATCGGGTCTTGCTTAGAAAATGACAAAGATGCAACAAACAGAATGGAGGCAAACGAAATTTGAGATTACATTATATTTGAGGCAAATGTAATGTAATGGAAGTTGGGAACCATAGGAGCTTGAAAAAGACTAGAAGCTGGTGAGATCCTTGCTACAGAATAGGCAATTTGCATGATGGCATCATTTGACTACAACTACCAGAATCCTTCACTCTTTCTGTTTCTTGTGTTAATTAGGGCAATTGTTATTTAAACCCCACTAGGAATTCAAAATTTAAATAATAAAGAAAAAACGAAAGGAATTCTGGTAGTTGTAGTCAAATGACGCCAACATGCAAATCTACTATTAAATACATTTGGTCACTATTTTCATTCAGGTATTTCCTTTTGTTTAGTTTAGATTAAACTGACTTTAACTAGTAACTGTAAGATGTTGTTTCAAGCGTTAAATCATTGAACCCGTGAGTATTTTAGCAACATCTTCTATTATAAATGTTCACACTTACATTAATTGATCAAGAATAGCTTTTCTATCGATATCCGGCGCCTTTTGAACTAATTCTCTGATGTCAAATTTCACACCATCTGTGAATAATAATAGTAATAAAATTAAGCGTGGCAGATATGGATTTAAGTGAAAACTGAGGCTATTTTAGTTTCGTTTAAAACTGAGAGCAATACTTGGAGCCTCCTTGCTTGATAGGATGGAAACAAAGCAGTAATAAAAGCATTAGCATCAAGCAAGAGACTATACGATCATGTGGGGCATAGCCAGGATTTTTCAAAGGGGGGTCACACTATGTCAAAGTGAGGATACTCACCAGATTGGCATGTCGTTTTTGCCACCTGTTGTAGGTAGTTTGCTTAAGAAAGGCTTACAAAAGGCGGGGTCACAGGCACACCAGGACCCCCGTACCCATGTCCCTGATCATAGTCTCTAGAGTCTCTTGCATCAAGCCATCCTTAAAGCTCTGGCCCCAGTTGTTGGAAAGATGGATAACACTATTCTCTGGATAAATCACTATCTAGTGGATGGCGTGGTTTGTTTTGTTAAAACTTCAGTGGTGGATCTAGGGGAGAAGCCCGGGGGGTCCGGCCCCCCATGATTTTGGGTAAAAAAGAAAAAAATCACAAAAGGAAGAAAAGCCAGTAGGGCAAGCAAAAATAAACCGGGCCCCCCACCTTAGCTCAAGGTCTGGATCCGCCATTGCACTTATCCTCCGTTGGATAGCACTATCCAGCCTTTGAACAGCCGGCGAGTGCTCAAATCCTGAGCAGACAGCCAGCGCCCAGAGCGCAAAGAGGGACTTTGACTACAGGCATTTTACAACCTCAGGTTAGAGAGTGTAATATGGAACTTGCCATGGAAAATGAAAATGACTTTGGGACTAAAGTCTTGCTTTGTCAGACCAAAACAATCTCGAAGAACGTAAAGAAAATGCTGCAATCTAAAATATTACAGGAGCTACACAAATTTGGTTGAACTTTTATGGTAAGAATGGACGAATGAAAGGGCAATCAACTTTGAAGGTCAGTGAGAAGTGTCAGTTTGTGTGCAAAGTTCCAGAGGCGCTGAGATGGCTGCAGCAAAATTTTCACC